GTACTAAATCATAAACCACTCTTTACCAATGTTCTCTTACTTGTTATCTTACCAGCTGTCATATATAAGTCTATTTAGTAGCTTAATATTAACACAGACACACCAACACTGTGTACATATATAATAACATATTAAGCCTGTGTTAAGCAGTGACAGCATAATTCCATGCTACAGTATTATTTAGTAAATTCTTACTGTACTGGATATCTTCATCAACTGATATAACAGATTAAGTAGCAGTGATGGCGTCCTGCTAAAAAATTATTAGTCTGGACAAAAACTGATTTAAAATTAACACCATAAGTCATTGGAATATCACTGATGTTGTATTACATATAGTTAATAAAAACGTTCAGTACGTTAGCCTCCACAACTAACCTGAAGATAAAGAAAACAGTAATACAAACACAGAATACAAAAAGTTTAATTGACAGTTATGATCTATTTGCAACCCACAATGATCTTGGAACTCATTAACTGATCAGAAAAAGTGTTCATTAGTTATTGATTTTACATTAGCAGCATGCAATATAGTTGTTCTTACTACGCAGCCAATATACAGTTTACAATTATGTAAGAAGCAGCTAGCCCTCCGATCTCTAACCCATATGTATAACTCCCAGGTTCCACATTTTGAGAAATCTTATCCCTCCCCCGTCCTCTAACAGGTTACTGAAACTTTTCCATATTTTTTAACCTCTGTATATCTTAATAGTGAAAGACATCATATACACAGGTGTCAAATAATCAATATAAATTTTCTTTCAAAGCATATATAGCATTCTTAAACACAAGCTCCAGTCCTAAGAGTAGACTTATAATGTTCAGTATTTTCAGTCAGTATGCTACATTTAATTGCTTTCACTGATGTAAATGTTAACTCAATTCTGACTTGTATTGTTAATTACTTTGATCAGAAGTTCTTCATACTATTTTAGGTGTAAGAAACACTAATTTTCAATAGCTTAACAGCAACATTTTTCAATATGAAATTTATAGAAGATTTAAGCTGGCAAAGAATAACTTATTAGTTGATAATAAATAAGAAAATATATAACAATAATCCTAATAATACCTTAATCACTCAGTAAAGTGATTAAAAATTGGTACAATGGTTTTATAATGAAGAATCTGCTTGAAGGTTTCTTTGTTGGAGATGATGTTTCAGTACACTTTAGTGGACCTTCTAAAAGAAGCTCCACAGAAGCAAATCAAAACTTTGTCTCCAACAAAGAAAACTTCAAGGTATTTTCTATTATAAATCTATTGTACAAATTCATCCACCTACTAACCCACGAGCTTTAAAGACATGATTGAAAATATTATCAATCTTATTGATACATAATATCAAACTTATTACCCCTATTTTATGCTCAAGGATGATGTATTATTCTTTGTTTAATGTTAAATAAATGTACAAAAACCTTTTGAATATCAAATAATTCAATCTTAAGTCTTGAAATTCAGAAATACCAGGTCTGATACTGTACATCTGCACCATAAAAAACTAATTTAACTTGGCAACCACACACTGATCAAACAGCTCTTAACAACAGTGATAACCAAAAGGCTCCTTTTCACACAGTCAATTTTTAAGCATATCGTATAACAGATAAGTTTTTGAGTAGAAAAACAAATTAGATTGAGATAAATAAAATAACTAAAAATCAATAAAAAATTAATGAAGAAACCACAATGGCAACAAACAGATTTTTTGTTTTTAATTTTTAGATTTCTTCTATATCTTCATGTCCAAGCAGTCTGAAAATTGGCCTGGTCATACCTTTGAAAGAAGTAACAAATACTGTAATGATCAAGAAGCTATTACTACAACAAAAGAAAAAGAATATGAATAACTTAGGTTCTTAATAAGGTACTGGATAAGTATGTTGTGCTAACAATATTTGTATACATACTGTGTATAATATAGAGATTATCATGTTTATTTTCAACATGATGTGAACAAATAATTCTACCTTATGTTTTAAGGCTGGCACAAAAAAAAGTAACCTATAAAATACACAGAATATCACTAACAGCTGCAATTATTCCTTACCTAGAACCTCATATTATCTTCAGCTTTGTCATTATCTCCTACAGGTCTCCATCATGCAAGGGACAGAAACACTAGAACAATCAACATTATAGAAACTGGGATAGTGATTTACTAAGGGCTCTCAAAAGATGCCTTTATTTTAACAGTTACTTAATATTGAATAATAGCTTGGATAAACAATCAATAGAAATTTACAGTGGCTTATATGAGCTTGCATGTATTATACATGTTTAGTTTAATGTGGAAAGGGTTAATCCATTGGACCAACCCCACATTGGAAAACAAATGTTAACTATAATTCCAAATTTACAAACTTTATATATACAAAATTTAGCAAGTTTTGAGTAAAATGTACAAGTAGATTAAAAAAAATCAGATGTGTTACAAAAGTATTTGTAATTAAAAATATGTCTGTGAACTTACGACAAGTAGATGTTCATGTGAAGAATAAAAATACTGTGATCCATAGTGCATATTGCATTTACATAACCTTTAGAACCCCCCAAAATGCACATTCACAGATTTTGCAGTATCCCTGTATATTGTAACCAGTATTTACACTCTCCTACCACGAATTGTCACTAAATCAGCTATGTAAGGTAAAATGAATAGTTGATAACCCTGAAATCAAATACATAATACCATGTTAAATGGCACTTTGTAAAATGTCATGCCATGCACACTTTGACCCCCACCTATGCACACAGAGTTAAATTTGAAAAAAATCTCCAGAAACAAGTTTTACTATACCCACTTTTGCCTTTTCATTTCTTCAAAAGTACAGTGTGACAGGATATAAACTTGAAACATCATGGTACAGCAAAGTTTTGTTTCTGGACTAACAGCATGGTTTTATCTAGGTTTTCAGCAGAAACTACATTTTGTGAAAAATGACTTTTATGTTACCAACTCTACATCACTTGCCTAAGACATTAAGAAGTCAACAATACTTCTATGAACTCAGAAGATCTACTGTTCAGTTTTGACATCACTAATATATTTTCAAACACTTCAGATACACAGAAGTCTATAGGAAACCTACCCACATCCATCAGTACCTTCACCAGATGTCTACAGGAAACCTACCCACATCCACCAGTACCTCT